ACTTGGTTGGCATTCCGTAATAGATTAGCCACGTGTGATAATCTTCATAGATTAGATGTGGATAATACTTGTGTATTGTGCAAGGGTGGACCGGAAACGGCTCCACACCTCTACTTTGAATGCCCTTTTTCAGGTAAGGTCTGGACTTTGATGAAGGCATGGATTGGCATTCCACGCATGATGGGGACCCTAGCTAGCTCGGTCAAATGGATCAAGAAGGAAAGGAGCGGAGCTAATGTGCAAGCCAAGGCTGCTAGGATTGCTTTCTCATGCACCATATACTGGATCTGGAGGACCAGGAATGCAGCTAGATTTGATGGTTTTTTGCCTAAGGAGGAGGAAGTTTTTGCTAGGATTAAATATATTGTCTACAAAATTTTGTATAGCATTTATCCTTGTGATTTGGTAGTACTCTGATAACTTTTCGCCCATCACTTCTTCTGATTGTGATTGGCCGTGAGGTAGAATTGGGGGGCTGCTATGGCTCCCTTATTTTGGCAGGTGATGGGTTATCCAATATTTGGATAGCCTACATTTTTGCTCATATTTTTGCTGTACAGATAAACTCTTTGATGGTTTCTAATATACTTACATGTTATCGTCGAGTTGCATTGGGTTCCTATATCATAAATACACATTTCTCCTTCAGGACTCAAGTCCAAATTATGTATAGAAAAAAAGATACGTGTATTCAGTGTTTTCGCGTTTACTAAATCAACCGAGTCACGGAGATTGGCCTAGATTGTGCATACGACAACGAAATTTGGATTTTCGAGTTGCATTGGGTTCCTATATGTTAAATACACATTTCTCCTTCAGGACTCAAGTCCAAATTATGTATAGAAAAAAAAGATACGTGTATTCAGTGTTTTCGCGTTTACTAAATCAACCGAGTCACGGAGATTGGCCTAGATTGTGCATACGACAACAAAATTTGGATTTTCGAGTTGCATTGGGTTCGTATATCATAAATACACATTTCTGCTTCAGGACTCAAGTCCAAATTATGTATAGAAAAAAAGATACGTGTATTCAGTGTTTTCGCGTTTACTAAATCAACCGAGTCACGGAGATTGGCCTAGATTGTGCATACGACAACGAAATTTGGATTTTCGAGTTGCATTGGGTTCCTATATGTTAAATACACATTTCTACTTCAGGACTCAAGTCCAAATTATGTATAGAAAAAAAAGATACGTGTATTCAGTGTTTTCGCGTTTACTAAATCAACCGAGTCACGGAGATTGGCCTAGATTGTGCATACGACAACGAAATTTGGATTTTCGAGTTGCATTGGGTTCCTATATCATAAATACACATTTCTCCTTCAGGACTCAAGTCCAAATTATGTATAGAAAAAAAGATACGTGTATTCAGTGTTTTCGCGTTTACTAAATCAACCGAGTCACGGAGATTGGCCTAGATTGTGCATACGACAACGAAATTTGGATTTTCGAGTTGCATTGGGTTCCTATATGTTAAATACACATTTCTCCTTCAGGACTCAAGTCCAAATTATGTATAGAAAAAAAAAGATACGTGTATTCAGTGTTTTCGCGTTTACTAAATCAACCGAGTCACGGAGATTGGCCTAGATTGTGCATACGACAACAAAATTTGGATTTTCGAGTTGCATTGGGTTCCTATATCATAAATACACATTTCTCCTTCAGGACTCAAGTCCAAATTATGTATAGAAAAAAAGATACGTGTATTCAGTGTTTTCGCGTTTACTAAATCAACCGAGTCACGGAGATTGGCCTAGATTGTGCATACGACAACGAAATTTGGATTTTCGAGTTGCATTGGGTTCCTATATCATAAATACACATTTCTCCTTCAGGACTCAAGTCCAAATTATGTATAGAAAAAAAGATACGTGTATTCAGTGTTTTCGCGTTTACTAAATCAACCGAGTCACGGAGATTGGCCTAGATTGTGCATACGACAACGAAATTTGGATTTTCGAGTTGCATTGGGTTCCTATATGTTAAATACACATTTCTCCTTCAGGACTCAAGTCCAAATTATGTATAGAAAAAAAAGATACGTGTATTCAGTGTTTTCGCGTTTACTAAATCAACCGAGTCACGGAGATTGGCCTAGATTGTGCATACGACAACAAAATTTGGATTTTCGAGTTGCATTGGGTTCGTATATCATAAATACACATTTCTGCTTCAGGACTCAAGTCCAAATTATGTATAGAAAAAAAGATACGTGTATTCAGTGTTTTCGCGTTTACTAAATCAACCGAGTCACGGAGATTGGCCTAGATTGTGCATACGACAACGAAATTTGGATTTTCGAGTTGCATTGGGTTCCTATATCATAAATACACATTTCTCCTTCAGGACTCAAGTCCAAATTATGTATAGAAAAAAAGATACGTGTATTCAGTGTTTTCGCGTTTACTAAATCAACCGAGTCACGGAGATTGGCCTAGATTGTGCATACGACAACGAAATTTGGATTTTCGAGTTGCATTGGGTTCCTATATCATAAATACACATTTCTCCTTCAGGACTCAAGTCCAAATTATGTATAGAAAAAAAGATACGTGTATTCAGTGTTTTCGCGTTTACTAAATCAACCGAGTCACGGAGATTGGCCTAGATTGTGCATACGACAACGAAATTTGGATTTTCGAGTTGCATTGGGTTCCTATATGTTAAATACACATTTCTCCTTCAGGACTCAAGTCCAAATTATGTATAGAAAAAAAAGATACGTGTATTCAGTGTTTTCGCGTTTACTAAATCAACCGAGTCACGGAGATTGGCCTAGATTGTGCATACGACAACAAAATTTGGATTTTCGAGTTGCATTGGGTTCGTATATCATAAATACACATTTCTGCTTCAGGACTCAAGTCCAAATTATGTATAGAAAAAAAGATACGTGTATTCAGTGTTTTCGCGTTTACTAAATCAACCGAGTCACGGAGATTGGCCTAGATTGTGCATACGACAACGAAATTTGGATTTTCGAGTTGCATTGGGTTCCTATATGTTAAATACACATTTCTCCTTCAGGACTCAAGTCCAAATTATGTATAGAAAAAAAAGATACGTGTATTCAGTGTTTTCGCGTTTACTAAATCAACCGAGTCACGGAGATTGGCCTAGATTGTGCATACGACAACGAAATTTGGATTTTCGAGTTGCATTGGGTTCCTATATCATAAATACACATTTCTCCTTCAGGACTCAAGTCCAAATTATGTATAGAAAAAAAGATACGTGTATTCAGTGTTTTCGCGTTTACTAAATCAACAGAGTCACGGAGATTGGCCTAGATTGTGCATACGACAACGAAATTTGGATTTTCGAGTTGCATTGGGTTCCTATATCATAAATACACATTTCTCCTTCAGGACTCAAGTCCAAATTATGTATAGAAAAAAAGATACGTGTATTCAGTGTTTTCGCGTTTACTAAATCAACCGAGTCACGGAGATTGGCCTAGATTGTGCATACGACAACGAAATTTGGAACTAGTGAAGTTTTACACCGATCTATTTGGTACTCACTATCCTACTTCCGGATTGGACTCCAGTATAGTTGCCTCGGGTAGATGTCTCCCTTCTAGTGCCTCGGCCAGCCTTGTTGGCCCTGTCACAGATGTGGAAATCAAAGACGCTCTGTTTGACATTGGTGACAACAAATCACCTGGTCCTGATGGATACACATCGGCATTTTTTAAAAAGAATTGGAACATGGTTGGTTATGATTTTACCAAGGCTGTTAGAGCCTTCTTTGGGTCTGGTAGGTTATTAAAGCAAACTAACCACACGGTTATTGCTTTAATTCCTAAGACAAACCATTCTCCTACGCCGGCTGACTTTAGACCAATTGCTTGTACAAATGTGGTATACAAAGTCATCACTAAGATCATTTCTAAAAGAATGATCCCGTGCCTTCCGGACCTTATTGACCAAGCCCAGGGGGCCTTTGTTGATGGGAGACTCATGATTGATAATGTGTTTGTTGCCCAAGAGCTGATTAAAGGATATGCTAGGAAACGTATGTCTCCAAGATGTATGATCAAGGTTGATCTCCGGAAAGCCTATGATACTATATCTTGGGACTTCCTTACTAGTATGTTGACCCACTTGGGATTCCCGGGCAGATTCATACACTGGATTATGGAGTGTGTCACCACCGCTTCATACTCCATATCAATCAATGGTGTGCTCCATGGACATTTTGAGGGTAAAAGAGGGCTTCGGCAAGGGGACCCTATGTCCCCCCTCTTATTTGTTCTTTGCTTGGAGTACCTTTCCAGACTATTGAATAATAGGACAAAAAATCCTATGTTCAATTATCATCCTCTGTGTGCATCGCTTAATATTTCACATGTTGCATATGCTGATGATTTGATGCTTTTTTCTAGAGGTGATACCACATCCATACAGATTCTCACGGAAGCTTTGGAAGATTTTGGTAACATATCTGGCCTTAGGGTCAACTATGATAAATCAAATATCTTCCTTGGTGGTAATGCATATTATGAACTTGACACTATACTTGAATTGGTGGACTTTAAAATTGGTACATTCCCGGTCACATATCTTGGGGTCCCCTTGGCACCCTTAAAGTTATCTGTGGCCCAGTATGCACCCCTTTTGGAGTCCATCACCACTTTTATTAATGCTTGGAATCTTAAGTCTTTATCTTATGCAGGCAGAGTTGAGCTAGTCAAGTCGGTTATACAGGGTGTACATTCTTTTTGGTTACAAATGTTTCCCATCCCTAATGTTATACTTGACAGGATTACATCCATTTGCCGCATTTTTCTTTGGGGAAGCAAATTTGCTAGGGTTGCCTGGGCGGATATTTGCCTCCCGAAAGAAGAAGGTGGACTTGGTATACATGACACGAAGGTTTGGAACAATGCTTTACTTTCAAAAACGTTTTGGGATATACACACTAAAAAGGACACACTTTGGGTCAAGTGGGTACATGGGGTTTATCTTAAGGGTAGGAGTGTGTGGGAGTTTGTTCCACATGAGAGAGATTCTTTTTTTTTTTTTTTTTTTTTTTTTTTTTTTTTCCGAAAAGAAAGATTTTATTGATAATAAGAAATGGTACAATGCCAGAAAACAGACAGAAAATAGAAAAACAGTACAAAAGAAAGATAAAATAGATTTAAACAAAAACTAAAACTAAGCCCAAGGGAATTGTTTAGACTGTGATCTGGTCTTCATGCTGTGTCGCCTCTTGTTCTTCTGAGATTTTTTATAAATCTTCAGTTGTGTGTTTAAGTTATCTGTTGGCAGACAATTATCCGAAGTAATGAACTTGGATTTGTGGCAGATTACCCTGTTGAATTTTGAGTCCCATATATCATCCTGATTGGAGATTGGTGGTCGACGCTCACTTTCTGTCGCGTGTCCTAGAAAGTCATCTGAAAAAAAAGAGTCATCTGATGGATTATAACTGTCAGATGCATCTGAGTAGGCCTGAATTAGTGGTATTTTGGGAAGGATCTCTGAAGTGTGAGTTTGTTGTTGCTCTGCGTAGGCTCCCTGAATATGAAAATTAAATATAAGTTTCGATATTGACGTGGGTTCTACCGTGTTTGTCGTGGTTTCGGGTTCCAGATGCATTGGTTCCTCCTGTACTAAAACGGAGATTCCCACAATATTAGAAAACATAGCCAGAAATTCAAGCAGTCTGAAATTTTTTGGACCCGTTGGAATCAAGATGAAACTTCCTTTTTCTTTAGCAATTTTCAGGAAGCAACCTGAATTGTTAATTTCTGAAGAAATCGTAATAGGACCAAATCTCCTTCGCTGCCCATAGTAATGATCAGATCTTTTGAGCTGAGAGATATAGTGGATGATTTGTGTAGCCAAGTCAAGATTGAAGCTAATCCTGCGCATCATAGATCTTTTTATCTCAAAAATAACAATTTCTTTATTCTTGACTGCAAATTTAAAGAGTTTAGACTCAATTTTAATTGAGTCAAACCCTTCCTCTCCAAAGAAGTGGAATGTTTCACATTCCTTAAAAATTAAATCTGGCTCAGCCCTATTTTCTTCGGTAGTGCTCAAATTGACCTTGTCTTCCGTAAGACAAATTACCTTATCAGTAGTGGCTGAGAATGGAACAGCCTGGTCAATGTTAGGAAGTGAGTTGTCTTTGTTCTTTTTCAAGATATCTGCCCACGTGACTGTTTTTGGCTGGTATGCTGAGCTATCGACATGGTTGTGATGATTGCCCTGAGACTGAGTTGTTGGTGGCTCCACCGACCCCCCTACAGATGATTGAGGCGCTGCATCCAAAGACACGACCAAGGGGTCAGGCGCTGTAGTCGGAGGTGCCTTTCCGTCTGGGGCATATGTTGTTATCGCAGCAAGTAAGGTTGCCGGTAAGATGACCGCCGTTGCACGACTCGGTTCTCCGCTAACATGGACTTTGGAGCTTGAAATGAATCTCTTAGAATTCCTGCTCAATCGTTTTTTATTCTGAACAGGCACATTTCTTTTCCAAAAAGTTTTCGAAGCTCTTGTATTAAGAGGAGTGAAAAGGTTACTGCCAAGAGGGCTTTCAAATTCGTGGTATGATATATGTTCATCTTCTTCAAGATTTAACCAAGAGTAGCGATTAGAGTCAACCTGAGACCGCTTGTTGCTGGAGAGGGGATGTGGCTTTCGTGTGTGTCGGTGTTGGTGGTGAGCGCATCGCCGATTGCTGACCTTGCACCAGGCTTCCCCACGCGGTGTCTCTGAATCGCCGGTCGCGTGATGGTGCTCTGCTGGTTTTGGCTGGTGATACGTGAGACGGTGGGTTGTTGGCCTCCAGATTGTTTCTCTGTCTCTCGTGTGTTGAGCTCTTGGCCTCCACATGAGAGAGATTCACAACTATTTAAGAAGATTGCATTAATTCGAGATGAAATACTCTCCAAATTCCCGGACATTCCGAGCGCTATACTTGGCCTAAATGCTCTTCAATTTAATGGCAAGCTTGTATCCTCCAAGATTTATGATTTACTTAGGACTAGGGCTGTCACCCGTGTGTGGATGCCATTTATTTGGAAAGATTACATTCCCCCCAAGTTTTCCTTTATTACTTGGTTGGCATTCCGTAATAGATTAGCCACGTGTGATAATCTTCATAGATTAGATGTGGATAATACTTGTGTATTGTGCAAGGGTGGACCGGAAACGGCTCCACACCTCTACTTTGAATGCCCTTTTTCAGGTAAGGTCTGGACTTTGATGAAGGCATGGATTGGCATTCCACGCATGATGGGGACCCTAGCTAGCTCGGTCAAATGGATCAAGAAGGAAAGGAGCGGAGCTAATGTGCAAGCCAAGGCTGCTAGGATTGCTTTCTCATGCACCATATACTGGATCTGGAGGACCAGGAATGCAGCTAGATTTGATGGTTTTTTGCCTAAGGAGGAGGAAGTTTTTGCTAGGATTAAATATATTGTCTACAAAATTTTGTATAGCATTTATCCTTGTGATTTGGTAGTACTCTGATAACTTTTCGCCCATCACTTCTTCTGATTGTGATTGGCCGTGAGGTAGCATTGGGGGGCTGCTATGGCTCCCTTATTTTGGCAGGTGATGGGTTATCCAATATTTGGATAGCCTACATTTTTGCTCATATTTTTGCTGTACAGATAAACTCTTTGATGGTTTCTAATATACTTACATGTTATCGTCGAGTTGCATTGGGTTCCTATATGTTAAATACACATTTCTCCTTCAGGACTCAAGTCCAAATTATGTATAGAAAAAAAAAGATACGTGTATTCAGTGTTTTCGCGTTTACTAAATCAACCGAGTCACGGAGATTGGCCTAGATTGTGCATACGACAACAAAATTTGGATTTTCGAGTTGCATTGGGTTCCTATATTATAAATACACATTTCTCCTTCAGGACTCAAGTCCAAATTATGTATAGAAAAAAAGATACGTGTATTCAGTGTTTTCGCGTTTACTAAATCAACCGAGTCACGGAGATTGGCCTAGATTGTGCATACGACAACGAAATTTGGATTTTCGAGTTGCATTGGGTTACTATATCATAAATACACATTTCTTCTTCAGGACTCAAGTCCAAATTATGTATAGAAAAAAAGATACGTGTATTCAGTGTTTTCGCGTTTACTAAATCAACCGAGTCACGGAGATTGGCCTAGATTGTGCATACGACAACGAAATTTGGATTTTCGAGTTGCATTGGGTTCCTATATCATAAATACACATTTCTCCTTCAGGACTCAAGTCCAAATTATGTATAGAAAAAAAGATACGTGTATTCAGTGTTTTCGCGTTTACTAAATCAACCGAGTCACGGAGATTGGCCTAGATTGTGCATACGACAACGAAATTTGGATTTTCGAGTTGCATTGGGTTACTATATCATAAATACACATTTCTTCTTCAGGACTCAAGTCCAAATTATGTATAGAAAAAAAGATACGTGTATTCAGTGTTTTCGCGTTTACTAAATCAACCGAGTCACGGAGATTGGCCTAGATTGTGCATACGACAACGAAATTTGGATTTTCGAGTTGCATTGGGTTCCTATATGTTAAATACACATTTCTCCTTCAGGACTCAAGTCCAAATTATGTATAGAAAAAAAAGATACGTGTATTCAGTGTTTTCGCGTTTACTAAATCAACCGAGTCACGGAGATTGGCCTAGATTGTGCATACGACAACGAAATTTGGATTTTCGAGTTGCATTGGGTTCCTATATCATAAATACACATTTCTCCTTCAGGACTCAAGTCCAAATTATGTATAGAAAAAAAGATACGTGTATTCAGTGTTTTCGCGTTTACTAAATCAACCGAGTCACGGAGATTGGCCTAGATTGTGCATACGACAACGAAATTTGGATTTTCGAGTTGCATTGGGTTCCTATATGTTAAATACACATTTCTCCTTCAGGACTCAAGTCCAAATTATGTATAGAAAAAAAAGATACGTGTATTCAGTGTTTTCGCGTTTACTAAATCAACCGAGTCACGGAGATTGGCCTAGATTGTGCATACGACAACGAAATTTGGATTTTCGAGTTGCATTGGGTTCCTATATCATAAATACACATTTCTCCTTCAGGACTCAAGTCCAAATTATGTATAGAAAAAAAGATACGTGTATTCAGTGTTTTCGCGTTTACTAAATCAACCGAGTCACGGAGATTGGCCTAGATTGTGCATACGACAACGAAATTTGGATTTTCGAGTTGCATTGGGTTCCTATATCATAAATACACATTTCTTCTTCAGGATTCAAGTCCAAATTATGTATAGAAAAAAAGATACGTGTATTCAGTGTTTTCGCGTTTACTAAATCAACCGAGTCACGGAGATTGGCCTAGATTGTGCATACGACAACGAAATTTGGATTTTCGAGTTGCATTGGGTTCCTATATCATAAATACACATTTCTCCTTCAGGACTCAAGTCCAAATTATGTATAGAAAAAAAAGATACGTGTATTCAGTGTTTTCGCGTTTACTAAATCAACCGAGTCACGGAGATTGGCCTAGATTGTGCATACGACAACGAAATTTGGATTTTCGAGTTGCATTGGGTTCCTATATGTTAAATACACATTTCTCCTTCAGGACTCAAGTCCAAATTATGTATAGAAAAAAAGATACGTGTATTCAGTGTTTTCGCGTTTACTAAATCAACCGAGTCACGGAGATTGGCCTAGATTGTGCATACGACAACGAAATTTGGATTTTCGAGTTGCATTGGGTTCCTATATGTTAAATACACATTTCTCCTTCAGGACTCAAGTCCAAATTATGTATAGAAAAAAAAGATACGTGTATTCAGTGTTTTCGCGTTTACTAAATCAACCGAGTCACGGAGATTGGCCTAGATTGTGCATACGACAACAAAATTTGGATTTTCGAGTTGCATTGGGTTCGTATATCATAAATACACATTTCTGCTTCAGGACTCAAGTCCAAATTATGTATAGAAAAAAAGATACGTGTATTCAGTGTTTTCGCGTTTACTAAATCAACCGAGTCACGGAGATTGGCCTAGATTGTGCATACGACAACGAAATTTGGATTTTCGAGTTGCATTGGGTTCCTATATGTTAAATACACATTTCTACTTCAGGACTCAAGTCCAAATTATGTATAGAAAAAAAAGATACGTGTATTCAGTGTTTTCGCGTTTACTAAATCAACCGAGTCACGGAGATTGGCCTAGATTGTGCATACGACAACGAAATTTGGATTTTCGAGTTGCATTGGGTTCCTATATCATAAATACACATTTCTCCTTCAGGACTCAAGTCCAAATTATGTATAGAAAAAAAGATACGTGTATTCAGTATTTTCGCGTTTACTAAATCAACCGAGTCACGGAGATTGGCCTAGATTGTGCATACGACAACGAAATTTGGATTTTCGAGTTGCATTGGGTTCCTATATCATAAATACACATTTCTCCTTCAGGACTCAAGTCCAAATTATGTATAGAAAAAAAGATACGTGTATTCAGTGTTTTCGCGTTTACTAAATCAACAGAGTCACGGAGATTGGCCTAGATTGTGCATACGACAACGAAATTTGGATTTTCGAGTTGCATTGGGTTCCTATATCATAAATACACATTTCTCCTTCAGGACTCAAGTCCAAATTATGTATAGAAAAAAAGATACGTGTATTCAGTGTTTTCGCGTTTACTAAATCAACCGAGTCACGGAGATTGGCCTAGATTGTGCATACGACAACGAAATTTGGATTTTCGAGTTGCATTGGGTTCCTATATGTTAAATACACATTTCTCCTTCAGGACTCAAGTCCAAATTATGTATAGAAAAAAAAGATACGTGTATTCAGTGTTTTCGCGTTTACTAAATCAACCGAGTCACGGAGATTGGCCTAGATTGTGCATACGACAACGAAATTTGGATTTTCGAGTTGCATTGGGTTCCTATATCATAAATACACATTTCTCCTTCAGGACTCAAGTCCAAATTATGTATAGAAAAAAAGATACGTGTATTCAGTGTTTTCGCGTTTACTAAATCAACCGAGTCACGGAGATTGGCCTAGATTGTGCATACGACAACGAAATTTGGATTTTCGAGTTGCATTGGGTTCCTATATGTTAAATACACATTTCTCCTTCAGGACTCAAGTCCAAATTATGTATAGAAAAAAAAGATACGTGTATTCAGTGTTTTCGCGTTTACTAAATCAACCGAGTCACGGAGATTGGCCTAGATTGTGCATACGACAACGAAATTTGGATTTTCGAGTTGCATTGGGTTCCTATATCATAAATACACATTTCTCCTTCAGTACTCAAGTCCAAATTATGTATAGAAAAAAAGATACGTGTATTCAGTGTTTTCGCGTTTACTAAATCAACCGAGTCACGGAGATTGGCCTAGATTGTGCATACGACAACGAAATTTGGATTTTCGAGTTGCATTGGGTTCCTATATCATAAATACACATTTCTTCTTCAGGACTCAAGTCCAAATTATGTATAGAAAAAAAGATACGTGTATTCAGTGTTTTCGCGTTTACTAAATCAACCGAGTCACGGAGATTGGCCTAGATTGTGCATACGACAACGAAATTTGGATTTTCGAGTTGCATTGGGTTCCTATATCATAAATACACATTTCTCCTTCAGGACTCAAGTCCAAATTATGTATAGAAAAAAAAGATACGTGTATTCAGTGTTTTCGCGTTTACTAAATCAACCGAGTCACGGAGATTGGCCTAGATTGTGCATACGACAACGAAATTTGGATTTTCGAGTTGCATTGGGTTCCTATATCATAAATACACATTTCTCCTTCAGGACTCAAGTCCAAATTATGTATAGAAAAAAAGATACGTGTATTCAGTGTTTTCGCGTTTACTAAATCAACCGAGTCACGGAGATTGGCCTAGATTGTGCATACGACAACGAAATTTGGATTTTCGAGTTGCATTGGGTTCCTATATCATAAATACACATTTCTCCTTCAGGACTCAAGTCCAAATTATGTATAGAAAAAAAGATACGTGTATTCAGTGTTTTCGCGTTTACTAAATCAACCGAGTCACGGAGATTGGCCTAGATTGTGCATACGACAACGAAATTTGGATTTTCGAGTTGCATTGGGTTCCTATATGTTAAATACACATTTCTCCTTCAGGACTCAAGTCCAAATTATGTATAGAAAAAAAAGATACGTGTATTCAGTGTTTTCGCGTTTACTAAATCAACCGAGTCACGGAGATTGGCCTAGATTGTGCATACGACAACGAAATTTGGATTTTCGAGTTGCATTGGGTTCCTATATCATAAATACACATTTCTCCTTCAGGACTCAAGTCCAAATTATGTATAGAAAAAAAGATACGTGTATTCAGTGTTTTCGCGTTTACTAAATCAACCGAGTCACGGAGATTGGCCTAGATTGTGCATACGACAACGAAATTTGGATTTTCGAGTTGCATTGGGTTCCTATATGTTAAATACACATTTCTCCTTCAGGACTCAAGTCCAAATTATGTATAGAAAAAAAAGATACGTGTATTCAGTGTTTTCGCGTTTACTAAATCAACCGAGTCACGGAGATTGGCCTAGATTGTGCATACGACAACGAAATTTGGATTTTCGAGTTGCATTGGGTTCCTATATCATAAATACACATTTCTCCTTCAGTACTCAAGTCCAAATTATGTATAGAAAAAAAGATACGTGTATTCAGTGTTTTCGCGTTTACTAAATCAACCGAGTCACGGAGATTGGCCTAGATTGTGCATACGACAACGAAATTTGGATTTTCGAGTTGCATTGGGTTCCTATATCAT